TTCAGCATATTTATTTATATGTTTTCTAATGTATTCAAATCATTATTTTACATAAGTGTAATTTACCACAAGAGGGTAGTATTTTTCTATATACGGGTAATAACCGGAAAAGCATGACACCTCTCCTTTAACACTGGTCAGATGTTTTTAGGTCACAGGCGAACAAGAAGGTTTCTGAAGAATGAAGCATAGTCATTGGGTAGTGGTAGGTCTACTGGTACTTCAGATTTTTTTTGCTAAAGCAATTATTAAAACAAACTGTTTTTTTCACGTTTAAACTTTCCTCTACATGTCAAAAGTCCCCCAACCTGTTTTACATTTGAACAAAAAAAAAAGCCTGTTGACTTATATTGGTAAACCGACGGCTGTAAATCAGCAAATCATTAATTTGGGGTAAATCAGCTTTGAGGTTTGAACACATAAACAGCCCCTTTTAAATCATTAGGTTCTTAAAGTTGTAATCATTTATTGTTAAATACAGAGTTATTCGTGCAACCTTTCATGGGAATGAGCAAGAAACTGAGTGGTTTGGAGGCAGGGTTGAAGAAAATCCTAGAGCCCTTGGGCCCATCGACGCAGGAGATTACGGAAAGATCCGTGTCAGTCAAACCATTATGGCTTCATGCACACTTGTGAACAGGATTCATGCTGTATCCAGTTCTGTTTACACATCTGTGTTTGACTAGAGTGGTTTAGAGTTACAACTGGAGGAGTAGTGTGAGATGAGTCTGTCAGCTTCTCTCCACCCAGTGAGGAGCGCTCCATGAACGGTGGAAATTCCGCATGGTAACTATGAAACAGTTACTGGGCTTGTGCAGCCAGGCGATTGGTTCACCACCATCGACCTGAAAGACGCGTACTTTCATGTAGAAATTGCTCCAGAGCACAGAAAGTATCTGCGTTTTGCCTTCCAGGGGATAGCCTACGAGTACAACAGGCTGCCGTTCGGCTATTCCCTATCCCCACGCACATTCAGCAAATGTGTGGCCACAGCGCTTTAACCGCTGCGCGCCCACGGCATGAGAGTTTTTCTTTTACCTAGACGACCTCATAGTCATGGCTGGGTCCCGGGAACAGGCAATGTTTTGCACAGCACGATTGATCACACACCTAACCAAATTAGGTTTTGCGATCAATTGGAAAAAGAGCACCCCCATACCTCACCAACAGGCGTTGTATTTGGGAGTGGTGCTCGATGCAGACGCGCTACGCGCCACCCTGTCAGAGAGCAGACGTGCGTCCCTTCTCCGGGCGGTGCACAGGCTGCGACAGGGGGCGACAGTGACAGCTTTAACTGTCATGCAGACTCTGGGTCTCATGGCGGCTGCTCACATTGTGGTCCCGCTGGGGTTACTACATATGCGCCGCCTGCAGAGGTGGTTCTCCAGCCTGCGTTTGGATCCCAAGAGGCACAAACGGCGGCTGGTGACCATCCCCCCCTCAGTGGAGGGCAACCTCCGGTTTTTGGGGGTCCCCGGATCACCTCCGGAGGGGGTCTCCACTGGGACGGGTGACCTCCTACATCACAGTGTTCACGGACATCCAGAACAGGATGGGGAGGGACCTGCCTGAAGAGGGCTATAGGTGGGCGCTGGGCTCTACGGAGTCTCAACACAGCAACCTCCTAGAGCTACGGGCGGTAGTGTTAGTTCTCCGGCATTTCATGCCCCTAATTCAAGGGAGACATGTAATGGTCAGGAGCAACAACAGCACCACAGTGGCTTATATCAACAGGCAGGGCGGAGTCCGCTCCGCCCCCTTGTTGGCCACAGCGGAGAGGCTGTGGTTATGGGCTTCAGAGGTGGTGTTATCTCTGAGAGCCCTCCATATCCCGGGACTGGAGAACAGGGGGGCCGACCTCATGGCGAGGGGCGGCCCCCTGCCAGGCGAATGGACGCTTCACCCGGAGGTGGTGAAGCAGATCTAGGCCCAGTTCGGGAGAGCGGAAGTGGACCTGTTCGCCAGCCGGCACAACAGCCACTGTGCCCTGTGGTTTCTCCATGGCCCTGAGCAACGACCCGCCTTTGGGGGTGGACGCGTTTGCACACGAGCCATGGCCAAGGAAGCTGCTATACGCCTTTCCACCGCTGCGTCTCATTCTCCCTCTCCTGGGGAAAGTGAGGCGAGAACGTCTGGCAGTCATTCTGGTGGCACCGGATCGCGTCGGGGCTCCGTGGTACTCAGAAATGACACAGATGAAGGTGGGCCAGCCCTGGGCGATCCCCCAGTTCTGGGGGGCGATGTCTCAAGAGGCAGGTGCAATCGGGGCGTTACCCACTCTGGGCCGTCCTCTTCAGGCTTGGCTCCTGAGAGGGACAGGCTGAGACAGGGTGGATTGTCTGACAGCGTTATTCAGTCTATCCAGGCAGCTAGAGCAGAATCCACCACAGCCTGTTACAGGCCAAGGTGGCTGAGATTCCAGCATTGGTGTGAGTAGCGGGGAATAGAGCCCCTATCTTGTGAGTTGGGCTCTATTTTATCCTTCTTACAGTTACTGGTGGACAGAGGGCTTGCTCATTCCACAGTAAAAGTGTATGCAGCAGCCATCTCGTCCTGTCATGAGGGATTCAACGGCAGGTCAGCCTTCTCTCATCCACTGATGTTGCGGTTGTTACAGGGGGTCAGGAGGCTGCGCCCTGCAGTGCACGCCTCCGCCCCACAGTGGGACCTGCCGCTGGTGCTCGAGGCTCTGGTCACGGAGCCTTTTGAGCCTCTTGAGCTCTCCTCCCTGAAAGCACTGTCGTGGAAGACAGCGTTGCTACTTGCCTTAACGTCAGCCAAAAGAGTGTCCGTGTTAACCGCTCTGTCGGTGCACCCGAGCTGTTTACTGATTCGGGGTGACCAGAGTGGGGCGACACTCAGACCGAACCCCTCCTTTGTGCCCAAAAGCCTAAGGAGTGCGTTCAGGTCGAGGGCTATTCAGTTGGGGGGTTTTAGTCTTCCACCCCATGGTGGGGCCAGGGAAGCTAAATTACACCTCCTCTGCCCGGTGCGCGCGTTAGCATATTATGTAGAGCGCACAGCTACCCTTAGACGCACTGAACAGCTGTTTGTGTGCTTCGGGAGCGGGGTGACTGGAAAAGCTCTGTCCAAGAAACGCCTGGCAGGCTGGTTTTGCGAAGCCATTGCACACGCCTACAAGCAGGCAGGGAGAGCCTGTCCCATGGGGGTCCGTGCGCACTCCACACGAGCTGTGGCTGCATCAACAGCCTTATTCAGCGGTGTGAGTGTGGAGGATATATGCACGGCGGCGTCTTGGTCAACGCCAGGCCCCTTCATAAAGTTTTATCTCTTGGATATATCTGGCTCTTTCTCAACGTCTGTGCTTGCTGGGGCAACACAGGACTGGTGAGGAGGGGGGGGGGCTGTGGGTCAGTGGGCATCTGACCCCCTCCCCGGGCGTAAATGCGCTTACATTTCTTCGGACCCCTGGAGGGTCGCAGGGTGATGTAATGCGCTCTGGGCCCTTACAGGGCTGAAGGGCTCCCCTCGCCTGCCTGGAGGCAGGAGGGGGAGAGCCCTCCATACTATAGTCCCTACACACTCTGCACAGGGTCAGTGGCTGAGTGGGGGGACATAGGGGGCACTTGCATTCTCCAAGTGCTCTTTAGGGACTCAGGAGGGAGAGTGCATAGTGAACCCATACAGGGCTGCGGACTTTCCCTGTCTGCCTATGGGCAGACACACGGGAGTCCTCAGCACTATTTTTGAGCACACTTTTTTGCGAGGCAAGCGCGTCAGGGTGTGCTCTATCGGCCGCAGCCCGGACTTCTCCATGGTTACAACCGAGGGAGAGGTGAGTGAGGCGCAGTGGCTGCTAAAGCCGGTCAGGGACAGTGAGGTGGAACGGTGTGATGGACGACAGTGCGTGCATACATCGGGGCTCCGCCCACTGTACCCATAGAGTCCAGTAGAGGGCGGAGCCTGTGAGAGATATAACGTCGGGTTACGTATTGTAACCCTTGTTATATAAACACAGGCGGAGCCCTCTACCTTGGGGGCACTGTCTGTCCTATACCGCTCGCTGAAGAGTGGTGTAGGATGGTGGTCAGGAGGAGAGGCCTCCTTTTATATGGAAGTGAGATGCGCACGCATTCAGGTAAGCCCGCCCCGGGGCCGGCTACGTCTATAGAAATCTCAGTAGGTGAATGCTTGCATGATAGGGTAGTACCCATAGAGTCCAGTAGAGGGCTCCGCCTGTGTTTATATAACAAGGGTTACAATACGTAACCCAACGTTTCCCGACTCAGACTGCAAGGAATCTGGAAGGGACACTGGACTGTCCTTCACTGCCAACATCACATCTTTAACCCGCTCCTACAGATACAACATCAGAAGGATTCGTCCCCTACTGACCAGTGCCATCCAACCTCTTCAGCTAATGCAGAATGCAGCAGCTCAACTGGTTTCCAACATATCAAAGTTCTACCACATTATACTCCACTCTGGATCTGACCTTCCTATATCCAGGACATGATTTAAATCATACACAGCAGCACGTGCACTTTGCTCTGCATCAGGCAATGGGCTTGCTCCTTCTTCATGAAGCACTGCAAGTTGGACCCAGGTACTCCTCAACAAAAACAAGCCTGTTTGCTATCTTGGCCCCACAATGTTGTAAAGAGCTCCCATACAGCACACATATTTTCCATCACAAACTGAAAACTCCAAATAAACAAATAGATAAAATGGCATTTTCAAAACTGATGCACCAACAATTACAATGGTTTGGCTTATTATAAGAAAAATATATGCCCTCCTATCTTGTTGATCTGCACTTATTTGGATAAAAGGGTGAGCTAAATGAAATGTAAAGAAGTTTAAATATTGTTATTTTTTCAGGCTCCTTTAAGAACTCGTTCTTGCTTTGTGGATCGGATCAGAAGAAATGTAACAACATATTGCGAGGTAGGCTAATAAAAACATTCAAGCGATAACACTGCAACCTTTGAGACGCTGCAATACATTGTGTTGATCGGTGGCTGTTTTACACATCTCACCCAGTGTGCCGGTTTTTACTCTTCCTCCGCTTCTTGCAGTCGCTTCCAGTATTTGCACATGTTGAAATCCAGCGTTAACGAGTCTTTGTGCAGCTGCTATACCTGAAATCCCGCATCCTACTATAACTACTTTAGCATTCACACTCATAGCCATAGCTGAGTCTGCACGTATGCAATACTACTTTTTGTTAACGGTTATACTGTCCTACCCTTCCTCCTGAAGCATAAGCAACAAATACAACATGTTTTCCGGTTAAGAGTTTCAAAATAAAACTGATATCTGGCCATTCAACTTTTTTGTCCTTGGTTATAATCCCTTTAACATTCAATTATAATACCGCAAAAGGAAAATCAGTCATTACTGGAGGGGAAATTCAGCATATATATTTATATGTTTTCTAATGTATTCAAATCATTATTTTACATAAGTGTAATTTACCACAAGAGGGTAGTATTTTTCTATATACGGGTAATAACCGGAAAAGCATGACACCTCTCCTTTAACACTGGTCAGATGTTTTTAGGTCACAGGCGAACAAGAAGGTTTCTGAAGAATGAAGCATAGTCATTGGGTAGTGGTAGGTCTACTGGTACTTCAGATTTTTTTTGCTAAAGCAATTATTAAAACAAACTGTTTTTTTCACGTTTAAACTTTCCTCTACATGTCAAAAGTCCCCCAACCTGTTTTACATTTGAACTAAAAAAAAAGCCTGTTGACTTATATTGGTAAACCGACGGCTGTAAATCAGCAAATCATTAATTTGGGGTAAATCAGCTTTGAGGTTTGAACACATAAACAGCCCCTTTTAAATCATTAGGTTCTTAAAGTTGTAATCATTTATTGTTAAATACAGAGTTATTCGTGCAACCTTTCATGGGAATGAGCAAGAAACTGAGTGGTTTGGAGGCAGGGTTGAAGAAAACCCGAGAGCCCTTGGGCCCATCGACGCAGGAGATTACGGAAAGATCCGTGTCAGTCAAACCATTATGGCTTCATGCACACTTGTGAACAGGATTCATGCTGTATCCAGTTCTGTTTACACATCTGTGTTTGACTTGAGTGGTTTAGAGTTACAACTGGAGGAGTAGTGTGAGATGAGTCTGTCAGCTTCTCTCCACCCAGTGAGGAGCGCTCCATGAACGGTGGAAAAGTAGCAGGTATGAGTAGCCTCTCCAGCAAACAACACCTGCAGAGGCTAAAATACACCAAATAGTTACAACAAGGTCTTACAGCTTGGTATATTATGTGCTAGTCTGTGTGTTCCCTAAGTGCACACAAATTCTGTTAGTGTATGAACATGTAGTTACTTGTAAAAGTGACCCCTTGGTAGGCAGAGGCTCCATCATGTTCTCCAGGTCCTGGACTGAACAACCTTTTCCTGGGTAACTGTAAGATCCACATGTCCAGGGGTCATGAAACCACTGTGAGCGCAGGACTCTCCTCGGGGTGACGGTCGGGTTTCCTAAACACACAGTTAGTCTGAGAGTGCTGACAGAAATTGTATTTTTTACTCTCAATTGCTGCTCAATCTTTGTGACTTATTTAGGCTCACCTGTGAATCTGCGGATGAGTTGTGTCATGGTGTGTGTGACCTCTTGTTCAGACAGGGTCTCCATATACTCTGACTCATGGCCAGCAATCCAGCCACAGAGAACATGGCCATACCTGAAAGTTAAACGACAAACATGACTGCATCCATTATCAATGTATTTATAATGTATTTTTTACAAAAAAACAAGCATCCGCATTTGTTGACCTTTCAGTGGGTTTGAGCACAGTGAAGCCAAACAGCTTCTTTATCCAGGATCTCTGTACATCTGGCACCTGGTCCACCATGCCATCCTGAATCACAACAACAGAGGAAACTGTTTCAAATGTCTAATGTTACATATTTTGCTAACTAGTGGCATAAAAATATAACTTTTTAAGAAAACACGTGGTGGAGCATGAGACAAAATAATGACTTTGTTGTTGTCCGTGTTACTAAAAGGGCTTACAATGTATCAGCTTTGATGGCAAGTGCTCTTCAATAAATGGTTAACTACGCTTATGCAGTCTTTGCAAGCTACAAGTCAAACAAGCTGCTCACACACATTCACACACCATAGGCCATATGTATATTTTGTGTTGCTTTTTTGTATATTGTCTCACCTCATCTTCCCACACGAGATAGATGTTTTCACAGTCAGCATCCCACCACGGGGAATCAAACTCCACATATATTACATTGGTAGTTCCAAAACCTAGTCTCTCAACAGAGTGCAGTTTGTGTAGAGGGAGAGGAGGACTGAACAGGGTTGAATGGTGCTTCTTAAGATATCCTGATGAAAAAATAGAAAACCAGAACAAGTTAGATGATGGTTAGTATAAATGATGCCAAAGGATTGCTGATCTGCCTTAAACAACACTGGTTAATTCATTGTGATACAATTCTTTAATTTTGTTATTTTTTAGTTCAAGCCAATAGATGACTGCTATTTTAACTGCATGCCTAACATAAATGATTATCGGCAATGTTATCCTCACTTCAAGTCTCTTTTTTGCACTGTGTCATGTCTGTAGATTTCCTGCTCTTAGATGCAAAATCGCAAACTGAGTTTGTGAATACACATCTTTAAATGTACCTAGAGGTACTGTGACAATGACATGATCAGCAGCTATCTTCTTCTCATCATCACACTCAATCATCAAAGAGTTTTCTTCCTTCTCTGTGTTGTTCCAGTGGACACAGCGAACAGGCCGGTTGTAAGTCACCAAATCCCTGGGGAGCTCCGACATCAAGTTTTTGATTAGACCTTCATAGCCACTGCATGAAAAAAAAAGAAGATATTAAGGTCAGGTGGACATGCACTTGTGTGCTGAGACAATCAGATAGTTAACAGACTGAATAGGTACTTTATGTGAATGCAGGAATTCATGGTTTATTTGAGTTTTATATTAATAGTTTTTGCACTTTATATGCAATGTACTAACCCAGGGAATGTACAGTCGAGCCCAGGTAGAGTCTTGTAGAGACCGTAGGCCCCCAGGCCCACCTCATCCATACTGTGAGCCCCATTAAAACAGCACTCCACCTTCAACATGTTACTGATCACACACAGTCGCAGACATCTGGTAGCTGCATCTATATCTTTCCACTTCTCTGCTGCTCGTTGTTCAGCCTGGGCCAGAAAACAAGAAACAAAACAACTCTTTATTTTTCACAAAAATCCAGTTTAATATAAAGAACATCTGAAATATTAAAGCCAATCTTGTCCTCATCCAGTGTTATTACTGTAGTCACTGAGAGAAATGTACCTTTGAACGTATGAAATCTCCCACACAGGCCCAGGGTTCTCCTCCTTGACTCTCGAATTTTGAACTTTCATAAATCAGCTCATAAAACATCTCCTCTGCAGGATAGACATCTTCAGCATTCAGCTTCCTACCTGAAAATTACACAACCAACAGAATACCAATAAGGGAGATATCATCAGGTTACACTTGTACACAAATGGTAAATAATCAATGACACAGCCATTAGCACCTTTTAGCCTAGTTTTCTGCCACTTAAGACACATCCAGTCCCTGTGAATAGGCCTATTCACGTTTTCAGTGTGTGATAAAGTTTGATTCAACTCTAAAGTACAGATTCTAACTATTTTGAACTATCTTAGTATAATAACAGTTTGTTTTTTTAACCATCTGGCGACCTGAACTGCTGAAGAAGTTGGAAGCCTGGTGGGGACTAACTTCAACGTCCACGCCCTGGTTCTCTGGGGTGAGGGTCTCTGGGTCCAGCAGTCCGTACTGACGGGCCAGACAAAACACTGGGTTCTCCTCAGTCGGTCCATGGATCCAGTGTGCTCCTATCTCAACAATATTATCACCTGCAGATAGAAAATGTTTGTGTGGGATCACGAAATATAGGATAGTTATATATAGAAATTAAAGTTTTATGTTTAAGGAGGAATAACTTTTGTATACATTATTTATTGTATTTATTAGTTACATTATGAGTAGATGTAGTTAGCTCTGTTCTTAGTAAATAACTTGTTGTGGAAATGTTTAGATCTGTAAAATCTGTTTTAATATGGAATAACATGAAAGGTGTTTATTTTGTAATAGTTATTTATGCTCCTTTTAGAATTCAGTCTTGCTCTGTTAAGATAATAGGGAATGTAAAAAAACGTGATTTCTATTACTGCGAGGTAATACAATAATTGACAGACAATACTGTAACCTTTGAGAGTCTGCAAGAAATGTGTTGATTGTTGGTCATTTGCTAAAATAAAAAGTACTGAAAGAGACACTCAAGTAGGCTAGTTGTAAACAGTTGCTTCACATTACTACAGTATCTCACCCAGTGTGCCGGTTTTGATTCTTCCTCCGCTTCTTGCAGTCGCTTCCAGTATCTGCACATGTTGAAATCCAGCGTTAACGAGTCTGTGTGCAGCTGCTATACCCGAAATCCCGCATCCTACTATAACTACTTTAGCATTCACACTCATAGCTGTGTGTAGCCGGCCATGCTGACAGCTGACAAACACTGTAGTAACATGTCCCGCCTCTTAGCCTATCACGTATTGTGTTGGAGCGCTAGCCAATGAAAGCGTGAGTGTTAGATAGTGATGTTAAGGAAGTAAACAAATGAGTCCAATGGAGGCATTTCAAGCATTTCACTCCCTCTGGAGCGAACTTTGGGATTGTAGCTTTTGCAGAACATTTACATGCAAGAAAACCTATATTACACACTACAGGAAAGAGAAAACCCCAACAAGGTTAACTGTGCCCCTTTAAAACCCTTCTCCATCTGTTGGTTTAGGAATGATAGAACAAGATGGTCGATGCACAAACAAACGTTTTTTAATATAATATGTTCTTGAAAATCTTAGGGTTAGGTGAATACTATTACTAACATAAATAAGGAAATGCACATACTTCATGTAGTTATTGCATTCACTATTGTTCTGTTATTGCTATGCATTGAATATATGATATACCCCAAAAATGTAAAATAAATATCCAATAAAATGTTACTTTGTCAGGGTTCCTCAATAATAGAAAAAGGTGTGCCTTGAGGAAAATGGTTTGGATCCACTTAGTATCCATTACATCATCTGCAATTGGCTGCAAACAGATTGAAATCCAGTGGCGTCGCCTGGCCTGGGCATCCGGGGCTTTAGCCCCGAATGTTTTTTCTGTAGCCCCGGACAATTCTCCCTCAATAATATAATACATTAACCGTGCTTTACGTGAACCTCATCATGACACAAGAGAGGACGGCAGCACTGTAATTTCCCGTGTTCAGTGAATGCAACAGAGGCATGACACCAGACCAATCAGAGAGTTGCATGGAAATAAACGTGTGCTTGTGTCATTCAAGCTCGGCTCTGTGTGTGTGTGTGTGTGGCAATAGCGCATTTAGTGTGATAAAGAGAGAGGGAGGGAGGGACCGGTATCAGCATGGACCGTGTTGTTAGCATCTGGTTAGCTAGCTGCACTAACGGACATAAGGAGCTGTTTGTTCCACAAGAAGCTGGAGGAGAGTCCTCTCCTCTCAGACTGAGAGACTCAGGTGAGCTAAAGGACTCTCTGAGTGTTTAGATACTTAACTTTAGTCTAAGTTATCTCAGTGGGTCTCAAACTGTTTGGTCACAAATTATTCAAAAGATTATTTCCGCGGCACACCTTCATATGATCATTATAGTTATAAAAAAAATAAGAGAATAAATGAAAAACAGTTATGAAATACTATATGGCAGTAAAACAAGAATAGAGTTTAAAAGGGGAGTGATTAGTAAAATATCCATAAAGAAAAAGTACATCTGTTTACAGTTCTGCTTCAAATGGGTGTTGAGAGAGGTATCCATAGATCTCTTCATTTTGCTCTCAAAGTGCACCAGATTGATGCATTTAACTTAAATATTTAAAAAAAAATCTTCCCGGGGGAGCATCCCCCCGGACCCCCTAGAGGAGGTGAGCCCCCCACTCATAAAAAATACCACTTTACCCCTGCCTATATGCCGTGAGCTGATTATCGAGCCTTCATTGTAACAGTCGCGGGTGTACTGTGTGTGTGCGTGTGGGGAGTGTTGCAGTGAAAATTGCCACTGTCGTGCCGCCGCCACTGTGGGCTAAGCCCCGAATGTTTTCAGGTCCAGGCGACGCCCCTGTTGAAATCAACAAAGTTGTTTTATAATATCCATTAGAGCCTCTTCAGCAAACACCTGCAGAGGCTGATCACACCTTAGCAAATAGAACTGTAAACAATGTGATTCAATTCATAGTGTGTGTGTGTGTGTGTGTGTGTGTGTGTGTGTGTGTGTGTGAAAAAGAGTAAAAAACATAACTCTATTGTTTATGAATTTGATCTGCAATTCATGGACTTATGACACCACATTGCATTACAAAAAAAGACCTAAGAAACATTGTAAGAGCATCTTCAAAAGTGAAAGGCCCATATTAAAAAAGGCCTATTATCCATTGATGCACTTTGTAGTAAGTAAGCACCACCAAGTCAAATTCCTCGTACGTGTGAACCTACCTGGTAATAAACCCGTTTCTGATTCTGATTCTGAAAAAAATGCCAAAACTTAGCTTTTTATGTTGTATTACTCTGTGCTATTTGCAATTAATGGAAAAATGATCAAGGTTGATTGAATCACAAAGAACTTGCTGTTTGGGAAACTGTGGGAAAACGGAACAGCCCTCCTCTCTCAGGATACCCTTATTGTGTAATGTTGATAGGTTCACATGTGCACACACAGAGAAACTCACACACAGCTCATGGGAACTAGCTGGCAACGAGGGTCACTCAGAAGAACAATGCTGCTAATCTGTTCTCTAGTCACCGTGGAAGTACAGGAAATAATAAAGATGCTTTTTGGTTGTGGGAAAATTGAGCAGGGTATTGTTTGGTTCAAGGAGATACAACAACATTTATAGAGACAAAACTAAAAACTGATTTATTACATAGAAAAGTCAGAGGAAAACCTTACCAAAAACAGGTGGTATAAATATCCAAACTTGCAGTAAGAATTTTCATACAAAATAATTTAAGTCATAAAATATAAAGCAGTGATACACTTTGCAGCAAAAACATTAACAGATCCTACAAACTGTTGAAATATGTATTTCTAAAAGTAGAAGCACGTTGGTGTATGATATGGTTCTATTGCAGCCTTTACTTTTACCCTCTTACCTCTACATCTACATTCACTACAGTATTGGCACATTTTCCCATAGGAATTCAACAATCATTAGTGTTCAACACACCCTTCCTCGTGCACACACACACACACACGTTACATCAGTGCCTGCAGAAACTCATATTATGTCACTGGCTCTGCCTTCGAGCTGAAGTTGGATCATAGACTTCAGAGAGCTGTACCTGAGGGGGAGAGCACATGATAAAAGATTATCTCTGACACTTACAAACAGGCACTCAAATACATGTGAAATTAGTGATAAAACCATCCAAAATCATATTAATGTATCCCTCAGTTAAACAGGCAATACTTGTCTGTGTGATTAATTAATTGTTGTTTTGGTCTTTTTTAATAGAATGTTATGACAAAAACAACAATATAAAAAATCACTAAGCTTGTCTTTAACAATGACAGTTACAATGAGTGTGTGTGTGTGTGTGTGGTAAGATATGACTGTGTGTGAAGGTCTTGTTTTGATTTTGAACTGCTAGCATCGAGTCACAGATATTTGCTTCACTTAATGAAATAGACAAGTGATTAAAGAAGGCTTTGTCTAGATCCAAACATGTTTTGTAACTCTGTTACGTGAAAACTGTAAAGTAGAGAGACTTGCTTACTTTCTGGTCAGCTTGTTTATCTCACGTTCCTCTTCCTCTTTAAGTTTCACTACAAAGCTGTCTAAAACAGGAATCTCGAACTTAATATATTGGGCCACCTGGGGAGAGAAAGATACATATGAAGACATATATCACCACCATCACGTGAGCTAAACATGTTTATATTTACAGGGCAAAGGAATTCCAGGGAAAACTGGTAAAAGCGTGTTACTGTGATTCATCCAAAGAAACATTAGATCCTATACTGTTGAATTCTTTGGAGGCAGCAGTGGCTCAGTCTTTAGGGAGTTGGCTTGGGAATTGGCTGGTCACTGTTTAAAGTCCACACACAGACCATAACCAGTTTGTGGACTGCTAGCCGGAGAGGTACCAGTTTGCCTCCGGGTGTCCAGGTGTCTTTCAGCAAGGAACCAACCCCAAATTGCTATGTTTTCTCTAAAAGCCGAGGATGGCTCTCTGCATATGAAAAAGTTGGGCCATCATTTAAAATTCACGCAAAGCGGTTGGGGGTCACATGAATTGTAAAGGACCAAGGCCTATTTTATAGATGAATGGGTATCGATAGCAGAACAAAACCTTTTAATCTGACCATATTGTTCACTGTATATGATGAATATTTCTAAACCTGGTCAAATTAAAACAAAACAATGGCTAGGCATAGATGTACAGTACGTGAGTTGAATGAACTCCCTCTTTACATTTTTAGGTAGGAGTCGAAACATCCAATTCCTAATCCAGGAGAGTTCCCAGCAACTTGTTTTATTTATCACCGAGTGTAATCACAACAGACAGTCGGTCCATTTAGTTTATTGTTACAACAGTTTCGAAACAGGATATCTTTGTTCAGCTTGCTAAATTTAACCCAACTGTCTATTTCTGGTCCCTTTGTGTCATTGTGTTTATGTTGATTACTACATCAAAAAAAGAAAAGAAACCACGATGAGGGAACAGAGTGTGGTGGCAGGAGGCCCCGACTCACATCATATGTGACTTCCTCTCCCAGGTCGGCCTCTGTGATCAAGATCTTGGAGATTTTCTCACAGGGTCCATAAAGCACACGAGTCACCAGCGGATATTCACCTTCCCTCAGTCGGGTCTTTTCTACAAGGATATACGAAGAAAGCAAATGAACACAAACACAACTAAAACCATTATTATCTGATAAATCCACAATAAAAGTAATTACTTACCACCAGACTCGTGCACCAAATAAAGTACAAACTCTTCAGATTTATTCTCCACCTTAAAAAATAGAGACATACATTTTATTTCTGGTTTTACTGTTACGCCACATGAGATGCAACTAATCTCACTGCTTACCCTAAACTTGTGTAGCAGCAAGTTGAGGACTTGTCCAGTCGTCATGGAGCTGTTCACTCGTACGTTAGTAACAGAACCGAAGGCCGGAGTAAATACAGATGTCTGAAAGCGAGAGAGAAACACATGTAGAAATAACTGAGAGGGCTCAAAGTATTAGGTACTTTGCTTCATGGACACTTGAGAAGCGATATTAACACCTAGGACATTTTGTACAGGAAGTCAATCCATTGGTCTGTTCCTGGAAACTGTTCAATAAAAACACTGTCTTCAGGAGAAACTGATGAAGGAAGACAGTGTGACCTTGTATTATGTTGCACATTAATGAGATCAGCCCCACAGCAGGCTATTGTGGCCCTCAGCACTAGTACAGGCACACCCACACAGGAAGCTTCCGCCCTTCTGCAGCTGGAGATGTGTTAACAGCGGGATACATTAATGTGTGTTCTGTTTATTGTACCTTGTGGTTGTAGAAGTGTCCGTTGATTGAGAATCTGTGTGTGCGCAAGCGCTGCAAATCTCTGGCAGTGTGTGTCCTTGACCTCCTCTGAACCCGCATGAAGGAAGCATCGCTCCTGGTCCTCAGCAGCTGAGGAGAATCCTCCTCATCCGGACCACACGTGTCTCCACCTCAGGGCAAACAAAAACATGCCTCTTTTAACACATGCTCATTGTTAAGCCCATCAATTGTCTTTAGCGTTAAGAAATAAATTTCCCTTTAAACATATAAATAACAAATACTCTTGCTCTCAAATTAAGATCTGGAGTATGTTAGTAATATAACAATATATGATTTCAAATTAGTTTTGAAGGTTATTTTCTTCTATTAGTATTTGAAATCCTCTAAAACAGAATCAAATTAAACATTTCAATTTTATACTGTTTACTGGAAAGGAAATGTATATTAAAAACTTAACATTTCTTCAGTTGTTTAGCTATGATTAAGAAAGACTATGGCACACAACTTAACTGGCCAAAGTCAGATCCATGACTAATAGCCTAGCGTTGGTTGTCTATAGTGTTATTGATAGTCTGATGTAGGTGGCATCTCAGGCTAATCTGTGCTCCACCTGTGAGCCAAGCTTTCCAATGGAAATTATAACTAAGTATCCATGGTGCTCTAATCTGTCTCAGCATGTGATTGTAATCTATGTTGATCAGTTAAGTATGTAAATGTGCAAGTGTGTAAAAGGTATTGCACGTGTTTGTTACTCACCTGCTGGCTCAGGTTCTGTACCCAGTGAGTTGTTGTTAGACTCTTCTGAGAGCTGCTTTGCCCCAGCAGATCTATCGTTTCTGTAGAAAGAGGAACAATGTGTTTATTGTTTGTCAGAAATATGAAAAGTGTGATACCACTTGTGTGCATATAAAATATGAAACTACAGCTGGCAGGCAGACAGTTCGACTGTAAATGTGGAGAAATTGTTCCTGGTACCAGTCTTAATGCTAAACCTTCTTAGCTAAATGCAGGGGCTAAGGTAATTTTCCTTTTTTGTAAAACGTCTTCCAAATTGAAGATAATTTTAATCAAGATGTATCTGTCCTTATGACATGCCAAATTCGAAATATTTTAAATGACGGCTAAACTAGGGGGAACCATTGTTAGTTTTGGACAAAATAATGTAGAATTTGCCCTTTATTGACTATTTTGTTTTATTTATTAATAATTGTATTTAGATGCTATGGGTCTGCTCCGAGTGGTCATACCGGTTGAGACGAAATCTTTCATTGTCGTCGTACATCTGAAGTCTGATTGGTCGGCGCAGACCCCAGTAGATGTTCAGCAACCCCTCCAGGATGAGCTCTCCATCTTCCTACACACAGACACACACACGACAGTAATCATCACAACTCGTGCTCAGAGAGGATATCCTGCTGGCCGCCTGCCACAGAAGCTCCATGTCAGGTGTACGTGCAGGAGCGCTCACAGCTTCAGGGTGACCCCTGTCATCTTGGAAAAAGCCCGTCAGGTTTGACCCACCTTTTTTTACATTGTACAAGGGTGAAGTCACGTCTGAAAAGGCAGTAATAATGAGAACAAAGACGAGACTGCTTTGGGTCACGTACACATTTTGATCTCACAGAAGTGAAAGTATAAAGATAGAAGAAAATGAACCCATGATGAGTACGGAGATAAAACAGTGTAATCCTGTTTAACATTTTCTTCAGTTTGCTTTTCATTGTAAAAAGAAAAGGGTCTCTATCATGTTGGAGTGAATCGAGAAGCCTGAAGTTTATTGTTACATAACTGAACTATTAAATAAAATATGATATCCCTACTGTGACTGTGTAATCACATACTTGATCAGCTTCCTTTCCCTCACATAGCCTGTTATATATTCATAATATCCCAAGAATACAATGCAGCTCTTTAACTCGATTTATTTTTATGGAAAACTCAATAAATCAATTTGTCAAAGAAATACTAATAACACATTAAAACTGAATCTTATTTGATCAGCTGATTCTCTGCCAGTTTAAGGTTTGTGGTTATCCTGCTGCAATTCTGCTTAAATTCCAAGTAATTTAATGTTAATTCCTTGTGAACACATACTGGACATTTATACTTATTGTAAGTCGCTTTGGATAAAAGCGTCAGCTAAATGTAATGTAATGTAATATCAGGGAAAACGGTTTGCTTTTCATTTCATTCAGATTATTTTGAAATAATGTGTAGTTAAGTATATATATCCTTAATATTACTTATAAGTAAATCATAATCATTGTAAACACTTTGTATTAAGCATCATACTGTATTGACATATATTAGTGTCTATACAGTTTATGATTTAATGGTTGATATTGTGAGAGTGAGTTTGGGAAATAAGAAGTCCTTAAATACAACAATTTAGCCTCACGCTGCTCATGACAACGATGATCGAAGACATGGTGTGGTTCTTTACAACTTGACTGTCAAAAGTCCATAAAGTGCAACAAAAATGTTCCTAAGTAGTTGTGTGTTAAACTTCTTCTGTATTTTGTATTCCAGTCATCTTGCAGCATGTCACTATGCACACATGAAAGCAGTTTGCATGAAGATCTCAGACAGCTTTTTATCAAATATATTTTTAATGGCGCTTAACTAATTCTTCAAGATGGGCCTCTAAATGTAGGAATGTCCTGTTAATAGATAATTAAACAGTTTAATTTGCATGGATAACTTGTGGCTGACAGTTACTTTTGACTGTAATATCATAAACAATTGTGGGAGCAATAGAAGCTTGTCAGTAAGAAATGTGCAGATTGCTTATAAAGAAGAATACTGGAGATAGTCAGGTGTTCATACCATTTTTAGATGGCTTAACATTTTATTACTGAAATTAAAAAAGAGGCACAGTGGGTTTTTTGAGGCGAGACAGAATGCTCCATGGGCTTCATTGTTTCTGGAATATAAACATTGAGAGCAGCTGCACCACTGGACCTCTCTGACCCGCATCGCCAGTTTCCTGAACAGGCATGGACACACCCTCCCAAACACACACAAGCCCACGGAGATGTGAGTAAGGTCAGCAGATCTATTTTTGGAAGTAGCGCTTAATCGCTCTGCTTCAGAGTGCCTCTATAAAGCCCGGATACACACTCTGCTCCAGTCATACTCAACTGAGCGGACTACATCACTCTGCTTCATGTCCACTCTACAACTCAAGCAACAAAGGTGAGAGTGCTTCTTCTTCTTGAGTTCTTAATTAACACTTATTATAGACGACTTACAATTTAGCCATGTGTTCAAGTTGATTTAAAAGTAATATTTACAAACCAGACAGAAGAATAAAAACGTATGAAATGAATAGAGTTAAATGTTTTGACCACAAATTAAATTCTTACAAAAACAAGGAATGAAGGGCATCTACAGCATATAAAATGTTAAATTATGTAAAGAAAGAAAGCTAAAAGAAAGCATGCAAAAAAGTGTATCATGAAAATGAATATAATGAAAGAGTTTTTTCCACAATTTAAAATCACTATCTAAATGTTTTGTTTTTTTAAATAAACAGTTTATGTATTTGGACATTGAGTCTTTTCATATGGTCTAATGTTTTATTTCCCCTCCCCCGATGCAGCATGAAACGCACACGGCTGTTGCTTTCCTTGCCTCTCTTACCCACCATTACTGAGACCCTGGAGGACTTGCCTGTCCACCCCTCCTCCTCACAGCCTGCCCAGAGCTCAGCGTCTCTGGACGACTACATGACGAGCATCCAGGCTCTTGCCCGATCTGAAGAGGCCCCGAGCTGCGGCCCTGTCAGACTCCAGAGGGCCCCCAGGCTGCGGCCGTTCTCTAAGGCTCAGATGAAGCTCTCTGTCTCAGCCTCACTTCCTCTCGGCTCTCCCCGCTCACTAAGGACTTCTAGACTTTGCAGTCTGAGTCTCAACAGCACAGAGGATTTCTCTCTCATGATGGGCAGAGAAAAAGACTGCCGGGGCAAAGATCCAGTAGACTGGCTGTTTGGACAGATAAGGACTTGAAGGGAGACAAGGTTGTTGTTGTGGAAAAGCCCAAAAGCACTTGTTGGAATATATCATAATCAAACAACGTTGGAGAACCTGCTCTGTTTATGAAGATCAAAACAGCTCAATGGCTGATGGGACTTATTATGACGAACAAAGACAGAATCACCAAATGGCTCCAGAGAGAAGACATATGTATATGCACTGAGGACTGAAGTCTACATGTTTACATTTTTTTAAGATATAGTTTGTAATAAAATACTCAAATACTCAAATACTCATGAAGATGTTATTTTCTCTGCTGTTTTTTTAAGTTACTTTAAAGAGCTGAATATCATTACATTTAAATCACTTTGATAGAGCTGAAGTCATTTTCTTATGAATGACACAGAAGATGATTTGCGACATCTTTAAAAACGGTATAATCCTACAATATTTCCATTTTATGCTGTGTTATTTATTTTATTTGGGTACTTGAAGCAAACGTTTCTCTTCTTACATTTACTAAACATAATAATAACCTTATATACTAGTGATTTTCAGATTCAAATGAATAAAACAAAATATAGGCTTCAAATAAAACAATATTTTATTATAGATAAGATAATATATATATATATATATATATATATATATATATATATATATATATATATATATTCATATATATATATATACACACCATAATGAATACTTTCACTTTAGGCAGTGTATATTCTGATGCTATTATTTGTGTAATTGTATTTAATGTAAAGAAATGTAAAAAAAGAAAGAATATATGGCTTTAACTTACAGAGTCCTTTTGAAAATACTGAGGTTTTGCAACTTTTACTAAGGTTAAAGGTCTAAGTATTTATTATCAGTTTATTATCATCACTAGTGGCATGGTGATAATATCACATAATATTACACTTAGGGGCCATTTTAAGAAGTAGGCTAGTTTTTGAAATTCAATACAGTTTATATAAAATGTAAAAGATACATATATAAATGGAACAAAGGTGTTGAGTATTTTCGTGTAGTTGTGTTACTTGGACTTGATAAAGAATCTGAGTAACTACTGCCTCACAGGTTTAAGGAAACAATGCTGCCATCTAGTGGTAATCAATGGCACTACAGTGTGTGCATTTTAAACGAAAAAGTACTTAACACAGCCACAAGGGGGAGCTGCAGCACAAACTGAGATTAATATGTGGTTCTCACAGCAGACAAACACAGACTGACACACACAGACACTATTGAGCAAAGTGTTGCCAAGATCAGAATGAAATATTTGGACTACACCACATTATACTTTTGTAACTTAAAAAACATCCCCTTAATCAGAAGAGAAAGGTTTACAGCCTTTTTGGCCAAATCCATAATCCAATATTGGATCCAAGACTGGTGCTGAGCAGTGAAAGTATAACATAACTCCGGGGCTCAGTATCAACTATGAAACTCAAGTTTGACTATTCATGTTAGAGCTCGTTTTCCTCAAAAATTCAGTTTAGTTTGTTGAGTATGTCGCTCAGCTTCCAAGTAAAACCACCTGACAACATGACTAATACAGACCACCTGACTCCACCTGCAGAACATGACTTCATCTTAAAACAACACTTTCACACAGAGCCTGTGCATCACTCTGGATAGTTGATATAAATGAAAAAACAAACCCTCAGACATATCAGGTATATATGATCACAGTCTATATGGTAAACATGCTGAGTGTCTGCAGCTGGTTTTCGTCTAACCTCATTCACACTGTATTCTAGCAATCCACATTAGGAGTTTCCAAATGTTGGTCATTTTTCCAACCAAAGAATGTAAGCGCTGAGTAATGTTTTGTCCCTTATATCCACAACATGTCTAATGAGTCAGTTATGAGAAACATTTGACCCCACTCCATCAGCTCTAACAATGACACATACCGCATAAATCATCACAACAAGACATTTGTCACTTTAACAATGTACATTTCGCAGCGCTTCGATTTTGATTATATCACACTACTAGCACTGATTTGTTAACATCTTCTATCGACAGCTACCGAACGGACTTGTGGTGAGTTCAATAATTCATTTCATGCCTCTTACAAATTGTACACACTACAGGATCAAATAAAACAGATTAATTAAGGTATAACTTCTTAATTCCTCAGGATCCTATTTCATATCGCACAGATGATTGATTACATTTTCATTGTTTGCAGCTGACTTAAATGCATTTTTAACTTTGCCAGCAAACTGAGCTTTTCAGTCAAACTTAACTTCACATAAATACATTGCCTAAGTCATCACATTTTGCACATTATGATTTAAGGTTGAGCGTTCCTGCTGAGGGGGTTCTGTGTAAAATACATGGGAATTGTTAAAATCAGGCAACACAATAAAAAAAATGAGACTGAAAGGTGCCTTGGACAGCCTGCGTTTTAACACAGTAAGCAATATGCTGTATAATGCAGAATCAGCGATTTCACTACAGTAGTCTCTTTTTTACAGCTATTATATATATATTGAAGTAAGTCTGGACTCAATTCTTTATTGAAGCCACATTTCTTTGGTTGAATAATTAGTAGCTTGCATTTGACCACATGTTAAAAGACACATTGTACAAATCGCGCATTAAAGCTTCTTATAATAAGTTACAGAGGTCAAAGTCATTTTCTATAATAGTATTTTGTTTGTATTTAATATCTTATTAATTATCAATAAACAACTGTTTTTCAATTTCAAAATTATGTGAATATTGTGAGATCATTGGTCCCTCTATTATACATATGTTATATGTTCACATGTTATGGAGGCGACTGTGGGGGGATTCCCAGAATGAGACAATATAGAGAGTCTGGCCGGTGGTACGAAAAAGAGACGGATCACCACATGACGCCCCTAACCCTACACCCCCCCCCCCCCCCCCCCCTACCACCACACACACACTCTCTCTCTCTTTCTCAAAAGCCATCTGGAGAACAATGGGGAACTCCCGACCAAAAAACCCATATAATATCAAACAAATAACCAAACACACCACACAACAGCCAAACGTTTACTGTGGAAATACTCTGCTGAGCAGTTAGTGTATATGAATGAAATCTGAGACTCCCTCCTTGCATTTCCATTTTCACTTTTAGGTAAAAGGGTGTTTTTTGTGTGCTTTGTCAGCCGTTTGGCATGTTGGAAAAGATCCCGGGATGAAGGTCTGTGATGAGAACTGCTGCCAGATTGCCAGCTTATGTGGTCTCAGGTTATTCGTTCTCATTATCTGCCTGAAATTCAAAGTGCTGGTTAAACTGGTTCCAGTTTTGCTATGTGCTGTTGACAGTACCGTATGTCCTGCAATCCAGCATGCCCAAACATACCACCAAGCAACCGTCAAAAACTCTGTTTGCCTTTTTATTTTCTGCCAACACTGTCAGAGGTTGTCTTACCTCGCGGGTCCGCAGCTGGAAATTCTTTCCTTCATGGTAACAGTTGTAGGTCCTAAGCAGTGACAATATGTGCGACCTGGAAAGTAACATAAGACAAAGGGTTTATTGATTGATTGAATTTGGACAAAAGGGACAAAATATTCAAGAGATACCATGTAAACTGTAAACACTTATTTTCCAAATGTTCCCTGATGCTTTTGAAAATGAAAAAGAGGACAGACAATCACATATAATATGCACAAAAAACAATAAGCAATAAAAAAATAAGACAAATAAAATCATCAGAAATGAACTTCAACACCCTGTCCTATGTTGATTCCTCTGCAATCCATATGTCCTAAAATGATTCACAAAACAAATAAAATAACTAAAAGCCTTCACACAATGCGGGCAGTGGTGATATTTTGATCACCCTTGTGGTTAAACTGTCTTTAATGTCATTACATTGCAGCAGGTGCAGTAAAGGGACTTACTTTGGTATCAGTTTCTCTTCACTGAGCTTCACGTAGGTCTGACGCTCAACCATTGTGACCAGAGTCCAGCTGTGGCAGAACAAGAGAAAAACATTAATAATGACCTGACTTACATCACATATTAATAGGAATAACTCCTATACGTTAATTAGATTTAATACAATGATTTGTGCATTTATCATAAGAATTATCATTTAACTATCCTTTTATTACTCTAATCAGACAGCGATTAATGATTGTTTAGTTTATTGTGTAGTTTTGATCCATATCAAGGGTTGGAAGTTTTTGGGCACAAATAGCTCTGGAGGTGAAATGAGGCACATGCAGTTCAAAGAAATCACATGGTGCTGTTGACACAAAGCCAACAGAGTAACATGTTGTGGCAAAGCTCATCAAAGTCTGTAAAACACGGTGTCTTCTTTCTCATTTTAAGGTAACTCCTAATGTGGTTAGGTTCTTAAACAGTTAACATTATGAGGAAGCACTACTCATTTGTGGCAAGGTTAAAAAAAAGAGTCTGCAACAAAAGTATTTTTGTCAATAAATACAGTAGGAAGCACAATAAATACACAAGGACACATATTGATCACTGTCCTTCAGGAGTTCAAGCCTTTTCTGACAAGAGAGAGGAATGTGTCCCTGATCCCTGCATCCTAATTCCTGTGTCCTGCTATCTCATGCCATGGGGAATTTTTCATGGTTTGGAAAGCCCAGTTCCGAGTATGCGGGGGGAGGAGCATGGGTATAAAACAGCCACATGTGGCTCAGGGGGATCAGTGCATCATTCGTATCCAGCATGAAGCTTTCTCTTCCTTCAGCCTGTCAGCTTGCCTTCCTGAGCCTCTGCTGTGTACTGATCACAGGTAAGAACCATTTATGCTTATATTAGTGTATTCTCTCATATTATCTGGATACAGTGAAAGTTAAGAGTGTTGCTTTATTTGGACAAATCTGTCTGAGCATGAACTTAATCCCTGCTCATGTTGCACTGTTTGGAGTTAACTTATAATCCTGTTACTGTGTCTGTGCAGTGAGAGAGTCAGACAGCACGTATGTCCCGGGAAGATGTATGTGTCCGCAGACCCAACCAGGTGTCAGAGGGAAACTGAAAGAACTCACAGTTTACCAGAAAAGCCCCAGCTGCGACAAAGTCACAGTAATGTGAGTACCAGATCCTGCAGAGACACACATTCATGGACACAGATGATTGAAGGAGGAGTTAATGTGTTGGTTTTCATGTGTTTTACAGAGTGGTCCTGAAGAGTAACAATAGAGCAGTGTGTCTGAGTCCAGTATCACCGATGGGCAAACAGCTGATTCGCTGCTGGAAGAGGTAAGAGGCTTTATCAGTGAAACCTAACTTTTAGTAAATAGGACACACACTCACTACTATGGGTTCTGAAAACATGGTCTCAATCATTGTTTTAGAAAGGGATACTACAGCTTTGTCAACCCTCAGCCAAGAGTAACATGTAATATTTCAACTGAGTTTAATTTACACAGAACAACACCATTATACAATATATATATTACACAACAGATGGAGGACATTTAAACTGTGCTTCCCAACTGGCTGTAAAGGGGTTCCACCCGTCTTCAGGCCAACAGTATCTTATTTGTTGCCAATCCGGTTCTTGTCGTAACACGGCACCCATTCAAGGAGTTTGTTAATCTTTCCCTTTTCTAGAGTTAATGATAGATCCTTTTATAGAAGCTTATATCATGCCATAATTAACATTTGTTGTGTTTAGTTTATTGTGTAGTTTTGATCCATATCAAGGGTTGGAAGTTTTTTGGCACAAATAGCTCTGGAGGTAAATAAATCACATGGTGCTGTTGACACACAGCCAACAGATTAAACATGTTGTGGCAAAGCTCATCAAAGTCTGTAAAACACAGTGTCTTCTTTCTCATTTTAAGGTAACTCCTACTAATGTGGTTAGGTTCTTAAACAGTTAACATAATTAATTAAGATTGTATCGAAAGATTGAAGTGTCCTATACAGGAGTGCCAATGTACAGCCCTTCCTCCAGGCTAAAGTTAGTTCTCCTGTGTGTCTTTTCTAGGAGTCATAAGCTGGGTCGTGATGTGACGCTGTGCCTGAAGAGGAGGAGGAGGGGGGGGAGAGGAGGTTAGCGCCAGAGCAGGAAAGCCTCATCCTCAATCCCCCGATAGTCAATCAGCCTGACAAGTTGTCCAAAGTTACTGAGCGGAAAGATACGTCTACATAGATGCTGTTTCTTGCCACACGGTTGACTCCAGGTCACAAGGCAGTTAAAAAACCACAGCACGCAATCACTTTTCTTTATAAAAGTCATGCAGCTAGACACCGAGCTCCCCTAAACTGTTGTCCGAGCTATAAATCAAACTCTCTTTGTATGCTAGCCACAGGGGGCTTGTTTCTGTGGAATGGTGTCGCTTTCAAAACTGAGCCCTGGAGGCTTGTCATAAATGTTAACAGTTTTAGCTTTAAAATGCTGTTAAAATATCGTTATGCAGTTCTGTGTATGCAGCTGGAAAAAACTAACTGAGAAGTTTTTGTTGGTTATTTATTTGTATATGAATAAGATAATTGTTTTAAATTGTGTTTTTTAAATAAATATATCAGAATAACAGTTTGGGCTTGTTGTGGTATTTTCTTTTTTAAACTTCTGATTATTTTACAACTGAATGATGGAAAAGAGGATTACTTCCTTGCCAGGATATGAGAGGTCATCTAACCCTCAGCCACAGCTTTAATTAATAAACCACAGGATGCGAGTCAGCAGCCGGCACAATACAAACATCTCACTTTAAACATCTGCACAGACATCCTAAAGGCTATACCAGGAGCAGAAATGTAAATGCAGTTATCTCTTTCTATGGCACTGTGCAGAAGTGATTGCAAATAAGACATTTGCTGGAGGTGTTTTGAAATACAATACACCATCAATTGTGCAGTTTAATACTTTCACAGGCTAATAAAGGTGTTGCACAACTGATTGGGGTGTGGAGTGGTGAGAGTTTTTTATTATGGCTTATAAACATGCTTTATATCAGCTCTCGGATTTCTTGTAGATCATGTGATATGATAGACACAAAACACGCACCCACACACACACAAACAAATAATATTTTCACCTGCTTTTGCAATGCGCCCACATCATTTGGGGTAGTGGAAAGTTAAATACTAAGGCGTGTACAAACCTGTTCTTTTTCTTAGCTAAAACACCTTTTGGCATTGTTATGAGCTCTTTCAACACTGATATGAGATGTTAGTTATTAACTGATGCTTGACTACACAAGGTGGTAAAATGGAAAGCGAAAGTAAATTGCTCAACAAGGCGGCCTTTGTCCCTTGCCTGGCTGAGTAATTTAGGGGATTTTTCATATTAAGTATGATAAACTATGCAAGCAGTTAGAAGAATTTGTAATAACATGTTATTGATCTGTGAAAGTTAGAAATGATACTGATTGAGAGGATTTGTTTACAGATGACAAGATAACAGTCTTGTTACTGGATGGCATGTGGCCAACATGCAAATCCAAAGAGAAGTACTTTACAATGCATACAGGATTTCTTTTTTTTCCATTCATTCATTTGATAGCTGTAATTACTTCATTGACTGAGATGTTACTCATCAAATCCACTGATCCGTTAATTTGCATTTGCTGCATATTAAACCTTCAACAGCCAATCAATAATGTATAATGAACTAACCTTTATATCAACCAAATACAACACTTATTCTACAACAATGAGAAGAGTTAGGAGCTAAGAAAGAGTTTTAACCAAATTCATTAACACCTTCACTTCAGATTTGTATTTTCTGATACACACCACACAACTTCCCGTAACTGAAAGGCAAGTGCAAAATTGAAAGTATACAAACCATTTAATATGCTGCTGGAAATGATTAATTTCAAACTTTTATGGTAGTGTGATTTTATCTTATCACAGTATATTGTATTGGTGTTGTAATAAATACGTTGTGGTATATGAAGTAAAAGTGAAATGCCTCCAAGGTAACATGATTTTGAATGTCTGTATTTACATTGTAATTCTCAGCTTTGGTCTGACGACTGTGCGTTTTATCTTGACGGAATTATTGAAAATTGGAAAGAGTCTGATTTCTATAAGAGTAGAGAGGGAAATGAAATGTCATATCTAAAAAGTCAAAAAGTATCTTCTATCGTTTTCAACAGGTTGCCATGAACTGACAAAAACAGTTTACATTTAAAAACAGTCTCATGCATGAAGGTTTCCTTGAACTCAAAACTGTTTTTTGAATAAATGCACAGCATCTAAGATACCTAGCACTGTACCAACAAAAGTGATGTTGGTGCTATGAGGCCATCTAGTGTCTAAAGCTTCAAGTACACTGAACTTCATCCTGATTTAGAAAATATGTGGCAGCATTGCTCCATCTCGCTTAGTGATGGAAGAGACACTGTTTAGTTTAACTTCGACATTGACACCACCTGCAGGAAATTAGCTGAAGTGGACAGATTGTTTCAAATGTGTTGACTGTGTATTTAAAGGGCCATTGATGGCTATTCTTTCTGAGAAGATCCATTGAGTTGCAGACCATGATTTGGTAACAACATAAAGAAGAGATGTTAATCAGTTAAAGTATTGATGTGTGACTTTGATATGCTTCATTCCAAACTATGACTTACACATTCGTAATAAATGTAACCTGATTGATTAAACCCTTGTATGTTAGTTACCATTCTAGATGTTTCCCAATAATTAGCTGATGTACACACAAAGGAGTCTTTTGCATTTAGTGCAGCTGAAACAGAAGTTTCTTAGACAAAAATGGAAGAGAAAAAATGCTTGCATGAGCAGCAATCGTCACCACAAAACCCAGGAAACAGACAGCACTGTCTGTATGGGAAGTGATCTCTGGGAGAGGAGGTGCAGATTCAGCTAAACACATGCACTCTTTTACTCTGTCACAATACTTCTCTTTTTATTTTCAGGCTGCTTTAGATTCAAATCATATTAATGGACATATCTAAAAGTAGCCTATAGTTATGTTAATTACTGAGCAAAGGCAGCCCTCCTCACCCCCTTTAATAACCTTTGCCCTCCTCCACTCTCATCCCCTGAATCTGCTGACAAAGTAGGTGCATAATGGGATGGTCAGTCTATATCTTATACATATTTATACACAATAATGGGTTTTTAAATATTCCATTACTTTAAGGATTCCAGGCTGTCACCATTATTATGAATTATTCAGCCAGTGCACATGGCTGCACAGGAGATGGACCAAGATTAAGAGCAGTGCAAGGAAAACACATTATTTTGTGATGCTCAGATTTTGGTGAATTTCTAATCCCTGTCTTCTCCTCTTCTTTTGTGTGCTAAATTACGCATTCTTCCCTCGGTGGACAAAGAACCTTCAGTGCAGGTCTGCTAATTGGTTTGATCATCGCGAGATCCGTATCCAATTATCGCACCATAGGCAGCTGTGTCCGGAGACAATCCCATTCCCACGCGTCAAATGTCCGGGGCAGCTCCTAAAGACGCTTACACAAAAATCATTTCCACAACCGTCTAATTGTAAAGACAAACACAGCTGTGGAGAGAAAATAGAAAAACACTTGCTGAAGATGTATCTATTTCTATTGCAGCTATTACTGCAAATAAACGTGTAGTTTTGTTGATACAGATAAAGGCTGATGCATTTTAAAGTTGTTCATGTCTCTACTGCTTTGATATCATAAACTGCATAAACTGAAAAGTACACCGTTAGTAACCTGCATCCAACTTCAGGACATCTCTTGTCTTCATGGCATCATGTTTCAGGGTTAAAGCGCATTAACGTAGCCTAAGTTATATCCCCCCATAATCTTTTTGTGTAAAAATATCCAGCAGTAAATGAGATCAGTATGGTTTCTTACCATAGAAGACAGCGTCCTCCTCTTCCGTATATCCACCAGCGATGTATCCCGTGTAACGTTGGTTATCAGTCTTCATGCCTTCTGGTCGTGCGGCATTCAGAGCGAAAAGATCAAACTGACAACACAATTGTCCAATAGAAAAATGGCTCTCATAAAGCTCAGCCAATCAGCGTTGAGCTTGGGCGGGGCTAACAGAGTCAGGGTCGCTTATCTCCCTTCAAGGTGCCTCTGAGACTTTACCTCAACCTCATCAGCCCCAACCATCAGATTAAATATGGTTTATTTACACTTGCGTATACTTTACTGGAAAACTCAGGTTAGAGGTTACATAAAATGTGCTTTTCTTTGCAAAAAGACACATACAGCTTGATATTTTGAATAGGATAGCATTTCCTTAGGTCACTGTTGACAGTATAGCAAGCGTTTTGAGTAAATACCTCTAGTGTTTTGAAACATTACTTGTTTTATTAAATGTAAAGGTTATTTACCTACTATTGGATAGAGGCGAATGATTGAATTGCCTCATCTTGCATTTTCTTAATGTTTTATTTCATTTAGCATCTTTACCTTTCCTGTCTTCTTGTAAATATATATTATGTGAATGTTGTTTGACAGAATTAAATCAAAGGCATTACATTACCAAACAATATAAAATAACAATTTTTCTTCATTCTATTTTCTGCCTGTACATTAGCAGTGATGAGGGCATTTTATTCTTTCAGCCCAGCTGCTATAGCACCTATCCTGTTTCCCTCAGCTCAGCAGAAAAAGGACGAAGTCCCTGTGACCTGTAAAGATTGGTTTTCCCCATCCTGTTATTGAGCCTGGATTTACCATCTAGGAAACTATAGTAGGAAGTCTCTCTCTCTTTCTCTCTGTCTGAATAGGCTTCATGATTTGACATGTACAGAGGAAGTAAATTGTTCCAGCAGCGTAATAACTTCCCCCTCTGAAAACAGATCATTCTAAAGGATATGACAAAGTCGGTGGAAGCAGACTGGAAATACTGACGCTCTTGTGTTCTCCTTTAGTTTTCGAATTGACCAGAGGCAGAGAGCGTTGTGAAGATGATAATACAGCCCTGACTTTCGGCCTCAGCAAACTCTGGACAAAGACTCTCTGTTCTCACCATAAAACACCAGACTATCTCATCCCTCCTGACTGATTCACATGTCACGGCTTTGATATAGCCTATTGTAGAAAAAACATGTGTAAAATGCTGAAAGAATGCGTGCCACTGTGTAGCTGCTGGGGATGTTGCCTGCTTCAAAAAAGGAGAATACCACAGTTGTTTAACGGACAGGCTATTTATGTGTCAGTGTATTTTTCACGTGTCTGCTGTCTGACCCCTGTTCTCAGTGAGGTGCTTTATGACGAAAGAGGCTCTTTGCTTTTATTGATTCACTCTTTAGTTTTGATGTTGCAGACAGATTACCTCTTAAGGCTACATACAGAAATATATATACAGTTCAGTGAACAAAGAAGAGAGGATTACCCGTCTACATGATGTGTGTGTGTGTGTGTGTTTGTGTGTGTGTGTTGACAGAACGAAACAGTATTGATTTATGTCCTGAAAAATAGGGGAAAGTCTGTATGGAGAATTGTATCCTTTGTTGCATGATAAAAACTAAAGAAATACAAATGAAATCTTGACACATGTTTTGATTTATAGAGCTTGGGTTGGATTCACACATCCTTTTAATAATATCAATGCTATTGTGACATGTAATTCATGCATGAATAATACTACGCTTGGTGTGTTATGTTTTGGTGAAACGTAGGCTTATGGTGGCGCTCTGGTGGGTGATCTGATGGTTTTCCCATCACCATAATAACGTGTGCACTCCTCCCAGAGCTCCGTCTCCATGGTCACCGCTTGCACATGACAAACACACAATAAGGAGTCTTGAATGTGACTAACACATGCACCTGCACTAGCTCTAATTCCTGCTACTCCCAGTCACATTCAAACACATTTCGTTTGAATGAATGAAACAGTTGATCTAATTTATTACCTCATGAATAATGCATGCCGCAGTAACTGGATTGGATTGCCTAGCATTAACGTTTGCTCTTCAATCAATCCTGGCCTTGCAAAAATCTGAATAAAAGCCACCCACATTTGTATGTACAATTGTTTCTTTTCTTTCAGTGTTTACATTTGAAGATACAATTATTTTTCAAAAATGCTTACAATATTATTTTTTAGTAAGTAAGAAATATACAAATCAACTTAACATTTAATAAAAAATCTAATAATCTTATATCTTGAAAAAACAAAGAACATTATTACTGCACTCTTGCAATTACTCAAAGGTCATATTTTGCATGAGCAGATATTTTATAATGTGTTTTTTAAAGCTAATTGTCTGCACAGTGTAGCACCAGCGAGTAGCATCCAGTCAGTATGAATACATTAAACATGCTTTCCTTTGTGTGATAGCAGTAAGGAGCTCCGTCTGAGCGCAGAGGGATGTTCAGTCAGTAATCATAGGAGCAGTGTCTGAGGTGGTGTCTGGCTCTGGCTCACAGTACCCGTCCATCTCCTCCATCTCTCTCTCCACAGGCTCCTCCCTGCCTCTGAAGCTTATCAGTCTCCCCTCTTTCCACCACCTCCTCTCCCTGTCTGTGCCTTTAGGTGCTGCTGTCTGCTCCAGCTCCAGCATGGCCTGCACGCTCTCTCCTCTTTCCCCCGGGCCGAGGCAGCGGTCTCTGGTTGCCAGAGCCGGTCCCTCCCTTCTCCTTCCTGTCACCACGTGGAAGAATGAGTCTGTGCTGTTCGAAGCTGCAGTTTCTGCCACACAGACAGTGGTCGGGCCTTGGTCGCTGTGACTCCCCTGTGGCCTCTTTGGAGGTTTGGGCTTTGTTTTCTTGCTTAGTATAAAGTTGAAAAGTGCTGTCACCAGAAGCATTATCCCTGCAATCACAAAATACATTATCTTTCTTTCACAGAAGACATTTTACAGTAGGAAACATGCATTTAGCTGTTTCAGTTTCACGGTCCTGACATTGTGCATGCTGGCTCACTGTCACGGCTAACAAGAACACTTGAATAGAGCCATCGTAAATGTTATCATATACACCAGTGCTTTTCATACTATGCAAGAGGTCAAAATGTATGTTGCTGAAAAGGCCTATCAAGACAGTATAAGTGCTGTAAAGAGAGTAAAGAGTATTGTAATAATCAGTGAATTTATCGTACTTGGAAATGTTATTTTACCTGGGATGATGGCATGCCATACCAACACAGGGTGCAAGAAGCAGACCACTGACATTATGGAGTAATAGAGGAACTTATGGAAACCTCCGACATGAGCCATCTTCCCCCACAACACAAACAGCTGCCAGTCTGGTGGACAGCTGTAAAATAAGATAGGAAGAAGCGGAGAACTGAGGCAGTAACAGGGCTAAACATTTTTGGATTATTTTGAAAGTAAAGACAGCTTAACATGTGCATGCTTATATAGCAGACATCACGACAGACTAGAAATATTGAGTATCTATCTTCAAATGTAGGTCTTAGGATATGCAATGTTAATAGTTACCTGATGTGCTTGACTATTATTTATCCTAAAGTATCCATGCAAAGAAAAGAGGTTGGTTGAATGTTGTGTACTCACGGCAGACACATTACCAGAAGTGTATCCAGGAAATAGGCCAACTCAAACGTCATGATGCCAACAGATGACACTCTGGGAGGAGAAATACAGCGAGATTAAACAAATGCAATGATAAAATCAGGAAACTGTTTATAAAATATGTAAACTAGATCTAATCTAAATATGTATTGTCTGTATAGCCAGCAATGCAATGCGATGCTTCAAGTGAAAATATATCGTTTTCATGTGATGCCAAAAACTTGGCATAAGGTTGTGTTTATTTTATTGTTTGTTGCTTCAGAATGCCCTGTTCTCTATTTTGTGTTTTAATAGTGTGATAACCATCTTATCCAGTGAACCAGAAAATGACCCCAGACCAACCGCCATCGTACACTGCACTCAGTCTCTGAAGACTTATCGCTGAGTTATGTGCTTCTGTGTGTGTTGTTACGGCTCTCATCTGCATTTCTGTGTTCTGACAGAATAAACAGTCATGCATTTCTGGTCTCCTTAGGGAGATGTTTTCCTTCGGCTCTGTGGGAGTCTGGCTGCAAGCCACTGAGATAATATGAAGAAGCACTAAAGGACGGGTCTCCTATTTGCAATCTACATCGCTTCATCCCCCTGGCTCCTTCCAATATGGTACAATATTGTAATTGTTTTCTACAAGCCCTTAGGCCAAACATTCTTTGGTATATTAAAATCCAAGTGGTGTATTTGTAACACAGGAATGCCACCAGTTTAGTTTTAAGCAGCCTGGAGTCAGGTCATACGTTTACATTGATACAGTGTATTTAGAGATGGACTGCAAAACCAAACACTTACAATAAATAGATGCCAAGGCTGTTGAATTCTCCTTGATGCAGAGTCTCCACTCCCACAGCACACAACACTGTGGAAGAGACAGGAAGACCATTTCCTCTTTTGTTATATTTAAAGAGTTACGGTTGAGCAGATTCTGTCCACCAGATGTCAGACTTAGTTCATGTTTTTGTCGTTGAACGCAGGAAGGGTTGCCGTAGCAGGTCAACTAGATCAAACTTGGGAATGTAACTCCTTAAACATGCTTAAATACTGTTAATTAAACTTTGTGCTGTGCTGCCGTTACTGTTCTTTGAACATTTTATTTTGTTGTATCTTTATAATATTGCCCTGAAGTTATCCAACTTGAAGTTTGTACTCCAGGGGAGCATATTGAATTGTTTTATACATGTTATATAAAGACAATTAAAATTCATTGTTGTAATTGTTTCCATAGTGGTCACAACATGTTGGTCATAGCTTACTCAAGCTAGTAATTACCATGTCAAGGCAGCAGGCTAGGGTTTTTTATTAGAGTAGACAATTGAAACGACAGAATCATTGCATTTAAAAATGTTTCACAACTTATAGGCAAAGTAGTCATTAGACGTCATGGTATATTGATAGTCTTTTTACATTTTGGGCTTATGTGTAATACATTCATATTTATTCTCAACTTTAATACTTTTTTTGTGTATATTCAAAAGCACAAACTTTAAGTAAAAAGTGATGCTGGGTTGATTTATTCCTCTGAAAGGTATACTTTGCTGCAGCAATTATGACAAGGAAGCTGAATTTCTCAGTCCTTCACCTGTGAGTGCTCTGCAGTGGGAGACGCCAAGATAAATTCTCCTGAACACATGAGTCATGACACACAATAGTAATTTAATGTTATTATTACTTCTGGTACTACTTCCTTCCTTATATTTTATAGGAACAGTTCAACTTTTTGGGAAACACGTTTTTCATTTTTTTAGAGAAAAAGGGAAAAGAAAAGACAGAACGTTTACATACAGTCAGGGGCGCCGTAAGGGGGTGAAAAGTTAGGACGATTCTAAGGGCCCGTGACTGACAGGGGCCCAAATAATTTTAGAACATTAAGAAAAAAATGTTTAAGCAACCAATGTGATATCTTTTCATGGGGCCCAAAATCCCTGGCGGCGCCCCTGCTATACAGTGTGCAACATGACAGGATTAGAGGCAGCAAAACATGCATTAGTACAGTGTAAGAAGAGGTTTTCCCATGTTTGTATGGTATATATGAAGCTACCGCCAGCAAACAGTAACTTAACTCAGCATTAAGACCGTAGATAGGTCTTGGAATTTCACTATGAATACATTTGAGTATTTATTGGTCTTGCAAAGCCATTTCCTGGCATATGATCATCAGCCATCAAGACGAGAAAAAGTCAAGCTCGCAACCCCCCCTCCAAAAATTAACACACCTTAGTATTTGATTTGCGTTTGTTATGATTAAATAAAAACAAGTTAGAGTTTATCTTTTTTTAAATTGGTAAGTATTAGAGGTGCTCGTTGGCTGGTAGGTTAGTCACCTTTTTTTCCCCCTGAAGATTCACAAATCTGAGAGCTGATCACCAAAACACAGTTGAACTAATATGGTTTGATATAAAATTAGATGACAACAAAGTCTTGAAAACTATAAAAGGAGAGCCTGTTTTGTTAATCAAGCTTTCCCCTGTGAGGTATAAAAGAGGTAAGCTTCCTTAAGTGGTGATCGCCACTCACATGGTAACAATTTCTCCTGCTTACCAGAAATTCAGAGATATAATCGGTACTAGAGGGAAATCAGGGGAATGTAGCTAAATAGTTTTTGGTAGTTTTATAGAGTGAGAGAGAGATTAACGCTGCATATAGACCAGCTGGGTATTAACATATATGCGCTCCAAGCACGTACGTCTGTCTACAGAACACATACAGGGGCAGACAGGCCGACACAGACATGTAGACACACAGACCCAGAGACAGAGGCGCACATAGGCACCCCATAAACATAAACACACACACACAAACACACATAGAAACAATGCACAGAAAGCTCCTGTTGGTGTAAATATATTACAGCTTGTGATCACATAAACCCAGTAAAGCAGCTGGATACAGAGACTTGGTTTTGGTGCGATGTGAGGCACATGTCTCTCAGTAAATGTTCAGTGTCTGCAGCTGTTTGAATTTAAGTGAAGGGGGTCCCATATTTTTTAAGGAGGTTGAAACCATAGAGCTATTTTCCCTGTGATGATTTAATGTGGCTTAGAGAGCTGTGTGCAATCAGTCCTTATGTGCCTGAAGAAAACACAGGAGGGATCATGATAGCAGGGTTATGCACGATCAAGTATTTTTATTTGCTCTATATATCATCCAAGAGATGCTCTCTTGTTCTCTTAGAGGTCATGAGTACAGTTGGCCAACATCACCATCTGACCTAATATTTTTGGTTTATGAAATCCTTAAAGATACCAACTGTATAACTCTCCCCCACCGGAAAGCTTAAAAAGTTTCCCTTCAGTGCAGAGAGAGAGAGAGAGAGAGACAAACAGACTGATGTCAGCTATAAACAAAAGGGTTGCAACACTTCACATTTCTTTCCTATTTGTATTTTTACTACAGCTTGTACGCTTTGAATGCCAAATCTATCCCACAGGTAAATCATGAGTCTCTCAGTGTATTGAAAGAAGAATATGAAGCCCATACTGAAACTATAAGTAATACACATGAGTCTTTACATATATTTGTTTCTATATTCATATACTACCTGTTGCCGTAGAAACACCGAGGATCCTGCAGGCGCACTCAATTACAATCCACCAAACGCTCTCCAAGTTCCCCATGACCTCAAATACTTTGTCTCTTCACTGGTAGAAAATGCAACCTTAACACGTCACATACACTATCTGAAATAAATTGTAGCCTAGCATTTACTAAAGTAGCCTTCTAGACTGAAATGGATGGTTGTTGGTAAAAGAAAAAGAAGCCAACGTTTGGTAATCCATGAGTGCCATGATGCGAAGCCTCTTACACTGGAAGAGTTTACCTCAGAAAGGTTTGTGACTCAATGCCCCTGTTGCTCACTCACACACACACACGCACGCACGCACGCACGCACGCACGCACGCACGCACGCACGCACGCACGCACGCACGCACGCACGCACGCACGCACGCACGCACACACACACACACACACACACACACACACACACACACACACACACACACACACACATTCAGAATTAGGAGTAATGCGCAGCTTTGAACTGCGAAGGTCGGGGACATTTCTTGTCCCACACCGACAATGTTCCTCATGTTTCTCGGTACGTACCTTGTTGTGAGAATTTGGGTGATTAAGTCAATCAAATCATTTGACACACTTTTTTTTTTCAAAGTCATTCATGCAGCATCCATTTTTCAAAACGGTTTGTTTTACAACGGTGAGCGTTCGTGTAATAGACAGCAGTTTGTGTCAGGAACAAAAAGCTAAGTTATCCCAGTTTAAAATGATACATACACATGTTCCACTTAGTTTGCTGTTGATCCCAATGCAACACGTACTCTCTGCAAGTTCTGAATAGTCTAACAATGCAATGGATATGGGATAAAATGCTACAAGAACCAACAGAGACCCTTTGACACACTTTCACATGTGTAAATGTAAGCCCATAATCGGTTGATGCAGGTTTGGCTGGGATGTAAGCCTGTTCAGGCACAGCAGAGGCCTACAGGAACAAGCATTAAGAGTCACCAAGCTCACACACATACACACACTGACTCCTGGTAGGGACCAAAGTAAGCCAAATAAATCTCCTTAAATCTCTAACAAAGAAACTTCTGTTTACTGGCTCCACTTGTTTCCTGCTTAGCATTCATGTTGTTTGTGACATTTATGGTATACGTTTTTGAATAGTGCCAAAACTGTGTTGTTAGATGTGTTATGGAAAGTGAAATACTTTCATTTTATAGACTGAAATATATAACATCTAGGCTTATTGAATACATTAAACCTAACCCTAACCCTAACAAAATAATTGTAATGCCCCTTATTTTCTTGTGTGTCATTATCAGGTCAAGCTTTTGATCTGTTAACAATATGTTTGCCTTTGGACCAAACACCAGCAAATCTAAGCACATTCTCATCATCCTCAGCTGTTCTCCGTGTAAATGGCACAATTATCTTGCTAATATGCAAGTAAGGGGGTGAAATAATAAACATTGTAACTTCCCAACATAAGCATGTGAAATTTGTCACTGTGAGCATGTTAGAAAAATAGCCCTTATAGTAGCTCACAGCCTACCTGAGTTTCTAGCATGCATATAGAGTTGTTGTCTTGTTAATACGTTTTTTTTTGGAAGGATTAATAAGTTGTATCTAGTGGCTTAATGCTTCATAGATATACTTGATGAATGCCTGATTTAAGTAGTAAGCTATGAGAATGTCTGTTGGGTTGCAGGGCTTTAAAAATTTAATTTAAAATCCCTTTGGCTGGCGTAGATTCTCCTCTAGCATCTTTCATTCATAGGAGGATTTCTGCAAAGGACATTTTTACAACTCTTACTTCATGAGCCACGGATGCCTGCACACATACACAGTTACTGTAAAATACTATAAACACATTTGAATCAACAAAAACAACAGTTTGACCACCCACTTTATGTGATTCAATTGATAAAAGAGAGACGATTTCTCATTATGAAATCGTATGTTTATTAAGACTGCAGTTCATCTTCTCACATGAGCCAGATATGAGATAGAAATGTGTACGGTACATGTTAACTGAGCCATGCCGGCGTGGCCACAGTGGGCTTTGTGTTTATCTTTATTTGACATGCTAGGCCATCATGATGACATGAAAAACAGCTTGTGAAAACATAATTGATGGTAATAACTCACTGTGTATTGCAAGGGGGTCACTGCTGACATTTACACTACATTGTGAGTTTTATGGCAGTTGTCAGGATATGCCAGAGGGTTGAGGCGTTTACAGTAATTGTGACTGATTGCCATCTAGTGAGACTGTAAATATAATGTTACAGTATAAATACAGACTCATGTTTTCATTTGCTCTGTGCAGCTATACAGACATTACATTTCAACAAGACTGACCTAAGACCTCTCACACTCTTCCCAAACTTTCACTCGACTGCTCACATTTTCTCTCACCCTTTAATCATCCCTGCGTTACGCCTCCTCACCCGCCCACTCATCACAGTTTCACACCATTCTCCCCCCCCACCCCACTGTGCCCATGGGCATGGGACCACAGAGATCAGCCATGCCCCCCCCCCCTCCCCAACTTCCTCCCTCTCCGGTGTGGGTGTCTGGTGCTTGTCTGAACCAGTGAAAACAGCTCTAATCTTAATTACACCAGCAGCTTTATTGCCCTGCTTTGTTGCTTTGCTCAGGCAATATCTCCATAATCACCTTTATATGGGTGTTTTTATTTAGGGAATGGCGGTGGAAGATCCCTGATAGACTAATTTCAGCAGAATACCAGAATATTTCCTAAAATATAAAGACATAAACCTAATCACACTGTGGATATTACATCTCCCTGCACAAGGTAGGCTCTGCCATGTTGGAGCCTAATCACTGGATTTACAATTGCAGGGAGACACCTAGTGGTTGAGAGGTGTTGATACATTGCAGTTTAACCCTTGTATGGTATGGTGTATGGTTTTCATTATTTAGCTAAAGAAAAATGATATGATAAATTATTTTTCAAACTCACACTCAATGGCCTTGGCTCATTTTCCGTGAAGAACATATATCAGAACACATTTTCAATGACCATCCACTGTACCCCCCTCCCCCCCACACATTTATATTACATACAGGAGGTTCGGGTCCACTGGGCTAAAAAAAGTGTGGAAATTGTAGGTCCTGTGTACCTACACTCTGTCCTCCTCCTGTGTGTGTGTGTGTGTGTGTGTGTGTGTGTGTGTGTGTGTGTGTGTGTGTGTGTGTGTGTGTGTGTGTGTGTGTGTGTGTGTGTGTGTGAGACTTTTGTGTTTCTGCCCCTGCCAGGTTGCAACATTGTTGATCAATTCAAGCACCGAGACCTGTCTGCTCTCATATTCCCGCATTATGTTTTGCGGGAACCAATCTTTATAGAGTGGCGAAGTCACGCCCATCTACTTCCGGTCCATGGGACCTTATTTCGGAAAAATAATGTATTGAAGTCAATGGAGAGAGAAAACGTATCTTTCGATCCCGTTTGAATTGTGCCATGAATTACACATATGATGTTTGTCAATCTTAAAAAATCATTTCCATGTCAAAAAAGTCACAGTTTGTCGTAAAACTGTTGAAATATAAGCGTAAGTGATGTCACAATTGTTTTCTTCCACTAAAATAGAGATAGCTAAGATAAGATAACGCCATATAGATAGAATCTATCTATATGGCGCTGGCTAAGATAAGATAACTTTAACAAGATGCCTGTGTGCTTAGTACCAGGTTGTTATTATACCAGCAATGGGTCTTGCTCGTTCTTTTGCTTCCCGTCTGATGAAAGGACCAGGAGTGGCTTGATCAAGTTAGCTACCTAGCTAGTAGCTAGCACGTTAGTTAGCATTACAGCCTTGTCATTTTTATTAGCCTTAACATGAAGTAACATTAAGTAACCCAAAATGTTAAACAGTAAGAGTAGTAGTCATATTTCGTGAACCCTTTGAAGAGTACTGTCACCGGTGTGGTCATTCTATAATACACAATTTAAGCCCGGGGGAGAAATGCTAACGCTAACGCTAGCGATCTTTTCTACTTCATGCTATCTGCACAAATGGTTGACATTAAACATTAAAACGACCAGGCAGTTCAGAGAGAATCAAAGGAAGGCAGGCAGGCAGCTTTGCATGACATTCTTCAGGACGTGTTTCATTGTGGTGATAGTGAGGGTAGTCAATCGTTTTGTTGACAAGACAGTAGTGACGGCCATCTTGGTGACGTGTGTTGTTGACCAGAGATGTAGTTCATTGAGCGTTTCACACAAACAAATGTGTTACTTCACAGTTTTACGACACATTTTTTTTTTTTTTTTACTTGCAAAATTATCTTTTAAATTGACAAACATCATATGTGTAATTCGTGGCACAATTCAAACGGGATCGAAAGATAATCTTTCTCTCTCCATTGACTTCAATACATAATTTTTCCGAAATAAGGTCCCATGGAGGTCCACCGGAAGGGGAGGGACTTCGCCACTCTATTTTGTTCACATTCTATCCCAGCTGCAAATTTGGGGCGGGACACAATAAATAAAGCTTCGCCAGTTTGGGTCCTTATCACAACTGATCAAGATGGCCAAAAGATTCTCTACTCAGAGGGCCTTGCAAATGATTTTGGAAGAGAGAGAACCATTTGATGATGATGTAGACTGAGGAAGAGGAAGATGTTTCAGAATGTGAGGATCACATTTCTGAGAATTCTGAGTCTGACAGTGACTTTGAAGAAGAGGATGAGATTGAGTATCAGCTAGTTACAAAAAAATGACAAGCCACAGGACCAGCCAAGTCTCACTCACGTGAGTTCACGTGACATTCATGACTGAACGTCCAGGAGCGACGCTTGGTCAGGGTCCATGGCGTGCAGTTGTGACGCGCCGAGTCTCCTTCAGCTTCATAAACGGACGCAAAGAGCTTTCAACTGATTGCAATGTATTCCCATCGGCGGCGGTATTTGACGCTCAGGGAAGCACCGCATTGGTCCATGCTGGCGGCAGTTAAAGGCAATGTGAGCGTCCATTCCCATTGGATAACGGAGGATTTTACACCCGGAAGTAAGTATTCTCCTTACTGTCGATTGATTTTACAGTGATATCTGCACTACTCATCAACTCAAAAACACCAGATTATCCTTGTTAATTACACAACATTGATTGGTTTAAATTGTGTGCAATGCTTTTGTATTTTTCCCCTTCGATTCGGAGAAACAAATATTTTTTCGGAGTTTAGGATGGCAGAAGACACTACACTACCTAGAA